GGAATTATAGGTGTGAACTGCCTTTTTAAATATTATTATTTACATGTTGGTAGTTTCAGACCTGTTTTTAGTCTGAAACTCAAAAAATCGTCAATATATTATAGATAATATGATCTAGGTTTATCACAATGAAAAGAGGGGAAGGTAGCATAAGCCATGGGTGAATTAGAATAGAGCTAGGTATGGATGTATGTTTGTGTACATATATTTTCCTATCTTTTTCTCTAGGTGGACCTAGTAGTCAGTCCTAAGGAAAATGGTACAGATAGCTCTCAAAAATGACAAATTTCTAGTGAACACCAGCAAGACTCCTTGGACAATTAGCTGACTTTCCATTGGTCCATAAAAAATGAAAATGAACCCAAAACATCTTAAGCCAGAAATTGTTTCCTCCAAAAGGAAAGGGTTGATATGTTTGAAGAACACAAGAGCCCAAATGAAAATCTTCCATATATTGAACCGGTGATAATTGATTCATGTAAGACATAGTTGAAAAGGGTTGTGTTCTATACAACACTCATGCTGATACAAATAAGTAGGGAGAAGGGATTCTTTTGTGATAAATGTATATCAGGAAACATCAGAAAACTTGTGTGAGTGTTTATGCTTCAAACAAGATTCTTCATTGGCTGCTCAGCATAGTGAACAAAAGTGAGATGAAGGACAGCAATTACATTTTAGTGTTGGTTTGATTTGTGATGCCTGAGACAATATCTCAGTGTGGATGCCTGTGATGGTCTCCAACGTTTCTTCTTTCTACTCCAGTCTCTGGAGTATTTAGATATGTTGCCATTATTTTGAGCTTAGAAAACTAGAATATGATGGTAGTTTTGTAAATATCTCCACATAGTACTTATCAGTTACAAAGAAGAAAGTAGTAATGTTATATATGATCTAGACAATCTGGAAGATTGAATCTTTCTATGGTTTGTGTATCAGGGTGACTGTGGTCTCATAAAATGAATTTGGCAGTTTTATGGAATAGTATGAAGAGTATTGGTGTTAACTTATCTTTCAAAGTCTGTTAGAATTCTGTATTAAAACTGTCTGGCCCTGGTGTTTTTTTGTAGTTGCGAAACTTTTAATGACTGATTCTATTTCCTTGAGAGTTAAAGATCTATTTAAATTGTTTATTTGATTGTGATTTAACTTTGGTAATTTTATCTACCAAGAAAATTCTCCACTCCTTTTAGATTTTCAAATTTTGTGTAGTACAGGTTTTAGAAGTTTGACCTCATGATTATTTTGATTCCTTGGTGTCAGTTGGTATGTTCCACTTTTAGTTTATGATTTTGTTAGTTTGAATATCTCTCTCTGTCTTACTTAGGTTGGATAAAGGCTTGTCTATCTTGTTGATTTTCTTCAAGAATCAGGTCTTTGTTTCATTGATTCTTTGTGTTCTCTTTGTTTCTATTTTATTGATTTCTGCTCTCAATTTGGTTATTTCCTGGCATCGTCTCCTTTTGGGTGCTTTGGTTTCTTTTTGTCCTAGTGCTCTCAGTGTGCTGTTAGTTTGCTAGCATGAGACCTCCCCAGCTTCCTTAGGTAGACACTCAATGCTTTGCAATTTCCTCCTAGCACCACTTTCACCGAGTTCCATAAGTTTGGGTGTGTTGTGAATTCATTTTTATTGAATTCTAAGAAGTTTTTATTTTTCTTTTTTTCTGCCTTGGCTCAGCATTCATTAAGTAGACAGTTGTGCAGTTTCCGTGAGTTTGTTGTTGTGCAGTTTCCGTGAGTTGTTGTTTCTGTTGTTGAAATCAGTTTTAATCTGTGGTGTTCTGATAGGATGCAAAGAGTTATTTCAATTTTCTTGTATCTGTTTAGACGAAGGTGTATTCTTTTGTGTTGGTGAAATGTTCTGTAGATATCTGTTAGGTTCATTTGATTCATAACATCTGTTGTTCTGTAGATATCTGTTAGGACCATTTGACTAATAACATCTGTTAAGTCCAGTATTTCTCTGTTTGTTTTTTTCTGGATGTCCTGTCCATTGGTGAGAGTGTTGGATATTGAAGTCTCTCACTATCAATGTGTGAGTTTCGATGTGTCATTTAAGCTGTACTAGGGTTTCCTTTACAAATGTGTGTGCCATTGTACTTGGGGTATGGATGTTTAGAACTGAAAGATCATCTTGGTGGTTCTTACTTTCAATGAATAGGAAGTTCCCTTCCCTGTCACCTTTGATTAATTTTTGGGTTGAAATTTAATTTGTTAGATCCTAAAATGGCTGCACCAACATGTTTCTTAGGTTCATTTGGTTGGAAATCTTTTTCTGACTGTTTACTCTGAGGTAATGTCTTTCTTTGATGCTGGGGTGTATTTCTTGTATGCAGCATAAGGATGGATCCTGTTTTCACATCCATTCTGTTAATCGTGTTTTGAGGGGGCGTTGGGGGAATTGAGTCTATTGAAATTAGAGATATCAATGACCAGTGAATGCTAGTTCCTGTTACTTTGTTGTTGTTGTTCTTGTTCTTGTAGGTTCTAGTGATAGTGTGCATGTCCCTTTCGGTTTTCCTGGTTTAAGAGTAGTTCCTGTGTTTTGTTACGGTTCACGAGAAGTCTCACAAAAGACTACCATACGTGTACAATCAGCGTTTATTATCTTGAGAGTAAAGATTCCAGCATGCTTGGACAGCATATCTGATACAAAGGCAAAATGGTGATGATGAGAAGAGCATACAGGCTCCTTTTAAGCACAGCTAGGGGGAGTTTCAGGGACAGTTAGGTCATCCTATCTATGATTGGGTAAACAAGTAGAAGGTACATTAGTACCTGCCTGATTACCTAAGACTAGCAGGGCCTGACTAGGACTGTAATTCTTCCATCATTGGGCTTGTTTGGCCAAGTCTCAGGACCTGACCCTATTTGGTCCTTGCCTTGAGGTACTATGGGGGCTGGCTCAGGCCTTGTACATGTTATCTCTCTCATTGTCCTTACAGGAAACTGAGGCCCAGCTTCAAAATGGGGAAAGTTCAGACCTTTCATTTTCATGGATATAGTTAACATCCTTGTGTTGGAGTTTTTCTTTTAGTATGTTCTGTAGGCCTGGATTTGTGAATAGATATTATTTAAATTTGACTTTATCATGGAATATCTTCTTTTCTTCAACTATGGTGACTGAACATTTGCTGAGTATATTAGCCTGAGCTGGCAAGTGGTCTCTTAAAGTCGGCAGGACATAAGTCCAGGACCTTCTGGCTTTTAGAGTCGCTGTTGAAACGTTGGATATAATTTTAATAGGTCTGCCTTTGTATGTTACTTGGTCCTTTTCCCTTGAAGCTTTTAATATTTGTTCCTTGTTTTGTATGTTTAGTGTTTTTATTATTTTATTTCTCTGGGACTTTCTTTTCTGATCTAATCGTTTTTGATATTCTGTAAGCTTCCTGTATCTTTATAGGCATGTCCTTTATGTTAGAAAAAATTTCTTATTTGACTTTATTAAAAATATATTTCTGTTCTTTGAGCTGAGATTCTTCTCCTTCTATTCCTATTTTATTCCCATTAGTCTTAGATTTGGTCTTTTCATAGTATCCCAGATTTCTTGGAAGTTTTATATCAAGAATTTTGTATATTTAACATTTTCTTTGATCTCATTTATCCCATTTCTTCTGTTGTGTCTTCAGCACCTGAGATTCTTTCATCGCTTGTATTCTGTTGGTGATGCTTCCTGTCCGGTTACCTGGATTTTTCCATCTCCTGTATTCTCTATTTCAGTTTTCTTTGTTGCTTCTATTCCATTTTCATTCTATTCTATTGTCTTGAACAGTTTTATTCACTTCCTTTAATTGTTTCCTTTTCTTTTCTTTTTAAAAGGAATTTGTTAATTTCCTCCATTTTTTGTTTGTTGTTTCCTCCCTTTCTTTAAGGAATTTATTCCCTTCCTGTTTTAGGACCTCTGTTATATCCTTAGAAAGATGGCTTTAAGACCGTTTTCTTGGGGGCTGGAGAGATGGCTCAGAGGGTAAGGGCACTAGCTGCTCTTCCAGAGGTCCCGAGTTCAATTCCCAGCAACCACATGGTGGCTCACAACCATCTGTAATGTAATGAGACCTGGTGCTTTCCTTGCCAGCAGTACATTGTATGCTTAATAAATAAATCTTTAAAAAAAAAAAAGACCGTTTTCTTGTACTTCAGCTGTGTTATTCTTGCTGTTGTTAATTGTATTTTTGTGCTGGTGTCTAGGCATCTGTGTTTGGGGTAATTATAGGTTTAGGTGCTAAGTTTGTCTTCGCTGTAGGTTTTTTTTATTTTTTTTAAATTTTGATTTCTGTTTCCTTTGGCCTTGTAACCAGAGTGATCAGGGATTTTGTTGGCCTCAGGTGGAGTAGGTGTTTCTTCAGGATTTGTGGGTTAGGATATGGTGATGAGGAGAAGGATTGCTTTTTAGGGATAGGTTGTGCAGGCACTGAGGAAGTGATGGCAGACTGTGGGCTGGAAGCTTACCTTTGACGGTTCTGAGTGCCCTCGTGACCACTGATAAAGCAGGGGACGTCAGTGTGAGTTGAGGGATGGTTTATGGTGATGAGGACAGTAACTTGAGGGGCTCCAAACAAGAGTTGGCAGTCTGCAGGCATGGGTTGAGGGTATCTTGTCTGGGGTCCTGAGTGCTGGTGTAGCCTCTAGAAAAGTAAGGCTTTTATCTGAGTTGGGAGGTCCAGGTATGGTGGTGAGGAATAGTGGGCAGTTAGGGCTAGACTGGATGTGCTCTGAGGGAGTGTTGGAGGTCTGGGGTGGGAAGCTTATCTGTGGTTCTCTAAAGTGTTATTAATCATTCCCTGTGCGGATTACCAGATGGTATATTTGCAAGATAGATTTTCAGAACATTTTGTAGGGTGTTGACAAAAGACACCTTTAAAATATAAGACACATTAAGGTTCATAATTGATGCTCTATTATGTGTGTATATTTCATTATGAACAAGAAAAACTTTAATTCAGAGGTCACTAAAAATAGTGTCTTAATTTAACTGAATTATGTTCTTTTTATTCCTTCAGTCATTTTGGAATTGGCTGAATAAACTTCTTAAAACATTTTTTGAAAAATCAAGTGACCAAAGAAGACCTGCTTCTCTAACCCAGGCTAAGGATCCATTAGGCTTTAGTTGGTGGATTAGTGTTCATGTAGCATCACTGTACCAGATTGATCGCCATGGTCTATCAGATGAAATGGTAAGATTTATATTTGTTCTTTTTAGTTTTTGTATACCATCAGTTAATTATATATATTTATATATATGTCTCCCTGAAATGAATCAATTGGTTTGTGTGAAATAAAATGAAAGTGTTTGTTTGGGGGCTGGAAGTACAGCTCAGTGTTTAAGAACACATACTATGCTTACAGAGGATCTAAGGGCTATTCCCTGCATCCACACTCTGAGCGTCACTGCTCCCTGTAACTTTAGTTCCAGAGGATCTGCTGTCTTCTTTGGGCCTGCTGCAGACAACTGCAGTGTTGCACAAACCCAAACATATACACTTGATCTTAAAAGACATAATTTTTTAAAGTGTTTATTTTGCATAACATTTCTTTTGACGTGCTTTTCCTTAAATCTATTTAACAAACTATCAATTTTGCTTCAAAGAAGACAGATTTTATCTATGTTGAATTACTGCTTAGTTGGAAACAATCTTTTATGACATTACTCAATTTCTTGTGATTTTAAACCACCTAATATATTTATGTGAACCCTATTTGATGCTTTTAATTTCTATATGTATATCTATATGTATATCTTCCTTTCTCAAAAAAATAACAGAATTTTACAAACATCAGTTCTGTGAAATTCAGACATCTGAGGCAGGAGGATCAAGACTAGCCTATATTGCATAGTTGTAGGTGAATGTGAGTGTTTCAACTCTGGATTTGAAAAAATATTCTGACTTATCAGGAAACCAGTCTATACTTAGAGCCACAATAGGACAGCTCAGCCCTGAAGGGAAAGGTGCCCTGACTTGTTGGAAAGTCAGACTCCCTGAAGTTGGGGTGCCGTTGGGGGATGGTTTCTCTGCAGGATATAGCAATCCTGCTTCTCTCCTAGAGAACTGTTATAGCTGAGCTCTGCTCTGTTCTGCTAAGGGAAAGTCCTAGCAGAACTATCAGCTTCTTTTTCTGTGGCCTAAGCTATAACTTCTTCTGCTACATTCTACTAAGGGGAAACTACTACAGAAGTGTAGAATCTCCTGTTCCATTTGTTTCTGCTCTCCCTTGCTCAGGCCCCCAGTCCCCTAAGGGAATGTCTCAGCAAGGTTTTTCTGTTCAGTTCCCTAAGTGACATCAAGGCTTTTAAAAAATGATTTGGGAAGGAGGAATCCAGGAGAGTGGCTGCCTCTGCCAGGGTGGTGAAAAACAGTTCCCCCGACTGAACAGACAGAAGGGCTTATATAGGGCTTCTTAGGGGCAGAGCTTTCTCAGGGAGAAGTTTTTCTGCTCAGGGATTGCTTAGTTTAGTTGGTCAGGGCCAGAGATGGCTCTGCCTTTTTAGCTTTTTGACACTAATCTTGGTGCCAGGACATATTTCTTTACTGGCTCTGATTCTGTGACAAAATATGTTTCTTTGACACTGGTTTCAGAGTCAGGGAGTGTTTCTTTGGTTCTGGGTTCAGGAATAGGATGTTTCTTTCACTGACTCTGGGTTCAGAGTTAGGGTGCTCAATTATTGGTTGGTTTTCCTTGGCTGGTCCTTTTAACCCTACAATAGTGAGTTCCAAGTTAGCCTTGGCAATGGAATGAAGTCCTTCTCAAAACCCAACCTCCCAAATAAAATAGGCAGGTTTCTAGACCTCAAGTCTGTATTTAGTACTAAATCCTTATTTAGAAATCCAATTTGGGGTTGTGAATCTTTATCATTATAATATTCCTTGGTTTTAACTTCTCTAGGTATAACAAATCATTCTCTGAGCTTATTGTCTTAGTTTCTATTGCTGTGAAGAGACACCATGACCAAAGGAAAACATTTAATTGGGTGTTTTACAGTTCAGAGGTTCAGTCCATTGTCATCATGGTAGGACCTGGTGGCTTGCAGGCAGACATGATGCTGGAAAAGGAACTGAAAATTCTACAGCTCTGCAGGCAACAGGAAGTACACTGTCTCGCTGGGTGTAGCTTGAGCATAGGAGACCTCAAAGCCCTTCCACACTTTAATATACTTCCTCCAAAAAGGCCACATATATTTTTCATCTAGGCCAAACCTACTAATAGTGTCTCCAATGAGCTTATGGGGCCAATTGCACTGAAACTACCACACTTATGAAACCACCACAGTGAACTACCACACTGTTCCTTGATAAAGTGGACGAGCTTGCTCTTTTGAACATTAAACGACTTGCTCTCTGAGATGTTGTCTATGGTGTCTGAGTGTTGGACTGACAGTATTGTAGCAATAAATAGGCCACTGAAAGTCTTCTAAATATTTCCTTTAATAACAAAAGTTCTTTAAGGAAATCATCAAGATAAGGTAAGTTATTACTGTAGAAAGTTCATGGCAGTTTAAACTGCCATTTCTTTTTCTTTTTTTTTTTTGAGAAATAAGTAGAATAAACAGACACAGATGAACTGCATGTCCTTTGGTCCTGTGCATGAGAGTTTGCTTTCCTATTACATAATACTCAAATTTTAGCAGCTGGCATAATTTCTTTATGGCCCGTTTATTAAGTACTTTTGTGGAATAGTATGCTAATGTTTAACATCACTTATTTATTAGAATATTATCAACATTAAGTGAATTTAAATATTGCCTATAATTCTGAAGTCTCAACATAAGCATTTTTATTTTTCTTTCTGTTCTACATTAATTCCTCTAAGAACACATTTCTTATTTTAATTAGTGTATATAAATGTAATACTTTGTCAAACACTTCTGAGTTGTATTCGGTGTTATAATAAGTGTTTATAAGAGGATCTATATGAAATACATTGTTTTTGCTTTGCTTCAAGGAATGTGTTTTTAGCTTATTAAACTTATTTGAACTGTAGTAACACTGTTTGTGGTGAGTGCTGTATTTCAGTAGCAGTTGATACTTATCCTTAGATAGCCCCAGTGTTGTTCTGTCATTCCTGTTACAGTGTACTGATGGTTTATTCTTAGATCTCTGGAGATTATTACTTTTATTAGTGTTGAGTCAAGACAGCAATTGTGTCTTTTAATTTTGTTCCTTTGTGGCTTTCTTTTGCCAAAATATTTTAAAATACTGTTTAAAATCTTATTTATGTGGAAGGATTTTTAAAGGAAACTGCCACATTTGAAACTGGAAACTTTTCTGTGATAAAAATATTATAGTATATATTTATATATGTACATATAAAATAAAAGTTGCTTTTAGTGTGTATTCTCAGAGTTTCCAATATTTTTGAACTTTGGTGTGACTTTTAAAGATAAAGTCACCTTCGTGACTAGCTTTTCCATTACTAGTTTTTATTAGGTGTGGAAATGCATATTGTATTTACAATGTATTTAATATCTAAATTATTATTTATGTTTTAGTGTGCTAAAAAGCAGGAGGAAAAATGATATATCCATCTTATGGGTGAAGAAGTAGGAATACATAGTGATCAAGGGTTCCTTTATTTTGCCACTTAGATAAATTTGATTTTTTTCTTTTTAAAACAGTTCTCCAAAAGATTGACTCTTACAAGTAAATCTTTGGTAGGATAACCATGTGCTCTAATTTGCCATAGGCAATCCATTTTATTCCAACTAACATTTATCTTATGTCCAATTTTATTCCCCAAGTTACCTCATTAGTAAATTACATGGCCATTCTTATCAATTACTTTAAAGGCACAATGGTTGATTCCTTCAGAAAAAAATGTAAATGGATGTTAATTTGTGTCTGGGATATACTTAAATCGTGACTTTAAAAATTGCCTTGATGCTTTTTCCTCCTTATGATATATTGATGTTGCCAGCTATCTTGCAGGAAGAGGTTGTATAGTAGTGTGCTTTTCTTCCTGACGAATACTGTGTGAAGGATGATAAATAATAATAGTTACATGGTTTTCATTAGACAACTATTGTAGATAAAATAAGATGTTTTAGCTTTTAAATGTGATGTTTCAACTTCTCCCAAAGTTTGATATGAAATCTTTAAATATATGATTATGTTTTAATTTAAGTTTTTGTAACTTGGAAAATTAGACAGTATCTTTTTATAAGGCTGTAAGAAAAATATATCTTAGTTTCCATATTAGAAGTGCTAGTTTTTTATTCATTTCTGCCTAATGTTCTCTCAATCTAGATGAGAATTTGTTATTCTCTTAGAATCCCAGTCAATTTATTTTGCAGCCAGACATAGTTTAAAGATGTGAATTACTTTTGGGCATTACAAGGATCAACTGTAACACTGTGTTTTCTGCCAAGAACATGGGGTTATCATCAGGCAGGCTCTTTCTGGAGCATTTGAAATGACAACCTAATAAAAGCCATGAAATGTAATCTTAAAATGAGAGCTGCACCAGTCCAAATGCAGTCTGCTGGAGGTGGAAAGTGAGGCTTTCTGTTCGTGGTGGGGCGATTTCCTATAAAGATGAAGTGGGCACCTTGCTTTTTAATGTTGGAATAAAAAGTAGAAAACATAGTCCCAGATTGATGGCTCCTACATGACTTGGCCTTTAGAAATTAGATATGTTGACAATATTATGGTGAAATAATATGTAGGAACAATTCTTGCATGCTTAAATTTGCTTGTGGAAATAAAATACTGTTTTTGGTACTATATTCTCTTATGTTGGATTTGGGCTGGTAGTTACTTTTTTAATATAAAGTTTTTTATGTATACATGCATATAAATATAAGTACAGTTTCCTTAGTCCACCAAGTGACCTTTGTATGCATATGCTTTAAGGGCTGACGACTTGATGTTTGGTAACTCACCCCTGGGGAAGACCAACTCTTCCTCTTAGCAGTCATCAGTTGCTTGTAGCCCTTTATCTAGGGGTGAATCCTTGTAGGATTTTCCTCCACCTTGTCTTTTGATGAATAGTTTAATTTATTTAAATTTTAGCCGTCATGTAGTTGAAATTGTTTGGGTAAGAATTACACTACTCTGATTTAAATGACTTGATAGGACAATTGAAGCGTACTCATTAACATCCAGTTGTAAAACAAACATATGAATTGTATCAACCTTGTCCTGTACCTGATAACCTGGCCCTGGTGGTAACATTTTCTCTTCATAATAGTCTACAAGCTGTAAGATGAATAAACCCTTCCCTCGCCAAGCTGATTTTGGTTGTGCTGTTTACCACAACAATAGAAAGGAAATTAGGAACGGTAAGAAGTACATAGGGCAGAGAACAGGTGGAACCACCAAAAGGGCAGTTTCATTTATTCTTTCATACTTATCTTCTGGCACTCATGTGTGACAGTATTCAGAGTGTATGTTCCTTTTTGTTTGTTTTGTTTTTGTGGTTTTTTGGTTTTGTTTTTGTTTTGTTTTTTTTCCCGAGACAGGGTTTTTCTGGAGCTTTTGATCTTGTCCTGGAATTAGCTCTTGTAGATCAAGCTGGCCTCGAACTCACAGAGATCCACCTGCCTCTGTCTTCCGAGTGTTGCATGCTGGGATCAGAGGTGTACACCACCACTGCCTGGCCAAAGTTTCTTGGACCTTCCTTACACATGCATGACCACCACTTCACGTGCTGAAGTGGTGATCTCAGTCTCAAGGTTAGCTGACCCAAAGTCACACTGTGGGCCGGTGGAGCTTGATCAAATCCTGCCCTAATATTCTGTGGTGATGACCAGCCTCTCCTCTGTCGTATCAATGTGATAGATAGGTCTCCAGACAAAGGTATTCCTTTCAGGCTTTGATATTCTGATGGATCAGACAAGTGTTTTTTGTTTGTTTCATTAGTAATGGTTACATAACCAAAAAGATAGTGAAAAGGAACATTATATATCTCACTCTCAGTTTCTAAGTGGTGGTTTCTGGCTCGGGATCTGTCATGAAGATTTCGTCAAGTTGTCATTTAGAGGCAGTTCCTGAAGGCTTAATTGGGACTAGAGATTTAATTTTGGTAGAATATTTTAGTTTCTCATTCTTTGACTTCAGGTCTGCTCACACTAGGGATGTTTCCTTGATTAAATTAGCAAGAGAGTACTGTCAAGATGGACGCTTCATGGAAGTGACGTGTTGCCCCTCACATTAGTATTGTTGGTCTATTGATGACCATCTTCTTTGTATTGGGGAAGGGGACTGTATATTGATACAGACCAAGATGCAGAGACCATAAGAGGCTGTTTTAGTTTCTGACTACTGCTGTTACTGTGCTCTTATTAGTTAGTGTCGCAAGCCCTATTCCTGAGTGGGCATTCTGCCCTTACTTCGAGGTCTGCAAGCAAATACTCAGGATGACCATAGTTTTTGTTCTAGGAACAAGTTTATTATGCCAATAGTCAAATCTCCAATTGTTACTATAGCAGATAAAAGCAAACATCAAAACTATAACAATCATTTAAATCCCTAATTATTCCTATGGCAGAAATAAGCAAACATCGAAACTATAACAATCCTTAGTCAACCAATCACATCACACATTCAGCAAGGATTATATGCCCTAGGCAAGGTCTTCTACCCTATCTTACTGAGGCATTGGTGTATACGACCTGATATATATTGGTTCGTGGCTCCCAACGTAGACCTCTGGATCAGCAATTCTTGATCCGCTGGCAAGAGCTGGTTCTCTGGCTCTTGGAAGGTCTCAGCTGTGAAGTTGCTGGTCTGTTGGATTCTCCATGACTGCTTCTGACAGCGTGTTTGGCCAGTCATTTTGAGAATGTCTTCTGGCCATGAGCCTCAAGTTTTTATACTGTTTCTGGCTGTTTTACCTTCTTCTAGATTAGCACACATGTCTGCTTATCATATAGTTACGTCACACTTGTTCACCAGCTCAAACTCTTATCACCACTGCACACATTGCTTCATACTTTTTAGTTTCATTTTGTGTGTCACTTAATATTGCCTCTTAACACTCCTGGACTTGTTTGTCCTTACAAACTCATAACATTTCACTTAATATTGCCTCTTAACACTCCTGGACTTGTTTGTCCTTACAGACTCATAACAGTTAGGAAGTACTGATTTAGTGGAGCTAGCACTTATGTGAATATTTTCCAACCTTTTAAAATCACAAGTAGTAAACATTCCTTTTATTCATTAGGTTTTTGTTTGTTTGTTTATTTGTTTGTTTGTTTTTCTGAGACAAAGTTTGAAGCCTGCCCTGGAACTTGATCTTGTAGACCAGGCTGACCTCGAAATCACAGAGATCTGCTTGCCTCTATTTCCCCGAGGTTGGGATTAAAAGCGTTTGCCACCGCCACCCAATTTAGAGTTTATTTTTATGAGTATAATCATAGTATGATCTGATAGGAGTCTGTAACTTGATTGATTGAAAGGGCTCTCTGTGTAGCCTTGACTGTCCTGCACCACTGGTAGACCAGTCTGGCCTTGAACTCAAGAGGTCTGCCTTCCACCAAAGGTTTTGCACCGCAAAGGGCTGTATCTTTGCTCTTTAGAACTCTAGCTTTGCTTTTTGAAGTTTAAATTACTTTTCACACTTTATTTTTACATTAGAAACTATTTGATTGCTTTTGGAAGTGCTTTCTTGTTGCTTCTGGTTTTAACCAATATCTACTTATCTCAGTCTCTAAGAACTGTGTGTGCTGAGAGAGTATCCTCAAGAATTTTTTTGTTAGAAAAATTGAGATTTTGAGAAAATTTCTTAAAGTTCACTGTAGTTCTCTTCTTTGCTGCATAGAGTCATGCATAGAATTGCCAGATAGATGGCCATTTGTTAAAGGAAAGCACTATCAATTTTTTTTATATATAAAACTACATAAAAGTTTTAATTTAATAAGATAGATATTTCAAGTAAAATGAAGAAAATCTCATGTAAGAAGGCGAATAGAAAAAATTAGCATGTAAACTTAAAAATGCATATGTCTATATTATTTTTTAAGTTAAATTATATGTAATAACAAATTAGGTATTTAAAATATTTATAAACCTATTGAAGTACTACTTTTATAAAATAAGACCAGATATGCTTTCTATTGGATTAGTGTAATTTTAGATTTTATTTCAAGTATGTCAGGTAAATTTTTACTGAAAAAAAATTACAAAGATATTTTAACAATAGTTTTGCACTTGTACCATACATTTAAATGTATGCATAATCAAGAGCAATAGTTTCACTGCTGTCATATTTTCTCTTTTTAGAGACAGATGGAGCCAAATTGGGGCTTTATAGAAGAACTTTTGAAACAGTCCGTCACTGTTCAGGTATGTAGCTAAAGCAAGACAACATATGACTTCTGCATTTTATAATATAGATTTCACTTACAAAAATAAGTAAACTTAAAATTACTAAAATGACAATTTATTACAAATCTGAGATTCTTTGAAGGACCAAGTCACAGTAATTCATATTAAATCCTTTAAAGGTTTTTATTTTTAACACTGAATTTGTCAGTTAAAGGACAAAGATAATTATCTTAGTTGGTGACTTTGAAAGAATGTATTCAAAATAAGTGGGAAATGCTTCTGAGTTATAAGCCGTTCCTTGACTGTATGATAGCAAGCCCGGCGACATGATGGAGGAGATAGTCGGTGGTACTGGAAATGCAGCTCTATCCTCCTCTCAGCAGGAAGGTGACTTGCCTTGCTGAGCAATTTGTCTTACAGGCTTGAATTCTATTCTCACTGATAAGGTCCTCGTTTCTGAGCACTCATTTCATACCTTATCATTTTTCTTTCCGCAGAGCTGTTAATGTAGTGCTTCATGGCCCAGAGGTCAGACTTGACCTCCTTTAAAATAGTTTTAAATATCCTGTTCATCTTTCTTTAAATGTGTTGTAGTTCTATAAAGTTCTATAACGCAAGGAACCCTTTATTGAAGGATATAGTATGAAATGTTTTTTAATTTGGGAAATAAATTGCTTTTCTTTTAATGAAGATTATTTGAAACTTGAAGAGGCATAATAATAATATAAGAAGATGGCTTTGTGTGTGTATATTTATAGAAGTGTTATATCCGACCACTAAGCCATCTCTTTAGACCGAAAAGCTGAATATCTGAAAACTGTAAATGGTTGAAGTTACATGTGCTGTCTGTGTTAACTGTAAGTAAACATAAATGTTTCCAATTATCATAAGAACCTTATCAGATAGGAGCTGGATATCTCATAGAATACCAGGCAATTAAGGACTTTAAATGAGAAATGTTTTAACCATTATAGAGAATATTTTTGTTTCATGTTTTCCTATATAGTTTTAATTGTCTTTCTGTTTTAAATATATTGATCTAATAACACTTTACATTTTTTTTATTTCAGGAATTAGGAAATCAAGGAGTAGTCATGAAATAAGAAATAGATATTGCATTGGCTATTGTCATTTGTATCAGTTACTGATTCATTCTTTAGTTTTTTGAATTTCATATATGACTACTATAAGTCATCCCCACTTTCAGAGTCTTCTCCACTCACATTCATACTAATGACTCACAGAGCTTTGTTCAACCCAAGTACTGGTAACATCAGTAAACATAACACTGTATTTCTAGTAACCGTTCTGACATCTGAGTTAGGAATTGACAGCTTCAGTTTCCTAATTAAGTTGTAAATGCTTGAAATTTTCTTCTGGCTTTTTGTTTTGTTTTGTCTTTTTTTAATTTTCTCTCTTTTGTATTTAATAATTTAAAAATTTCCATAAAACTATGAGTTTGAAGAAGGTTTTGAAGTCTTTACCATAGATTATTCCTTACATCTACATACCCATATTGGTCCTTAAATGTCAAAAGAAGTCTTATATTACAGGGAGTCAGTGTCCAAAGCGGATAGAGTATGTGAAGTATTAATTAAAAGCAAACATTCCTACAGAAAGGAGTTTAATGACAAATTCTTTCCTGTTGTCCCTTCTGGAGCACTGCTCTTTATGTTTATATAGTTATAGATAGGTAGTTTGTTCTTAAATTGACGTGTGTACATGGTAACTAAACTCAAACATTGAATGCTTCATTGTCAATGTTTGTTCTATGAAACATGCCCAAATTTAATATGTTTAATATGCCTAAATTTCATCTTTCAAAATAAGACCGGAAGACATTCTCTCCCTCTCTCTCTCTCTCTCTCTCTCACACACACACACACACACTAAACACACCCCTGAGATATAGGATAGGATACTTACAGGGCCTGTTAAAAATTTAGGAGTTCAGTAGCATGCCATAATACACCAGCCTAGGTTTAAGACCATGTGGTCTATTTAAAAAATAAAACTAGTCAAGGGGCATAGATTTCCTTACCCTTTTTTGACTGTGTTAGGTAGATTGTAGGCTTAAGACTCAGCAAGTAAAATGTGTCTGCTTAAGGGGTCAGATTGTGAATTTTATTTTATTTGTCGTGATCTTCAGGAATAACATTGTGGGCCAACAGTGGTATTTCTCTTTGTTTGGCAAATAGCAAAATGTGATTAATGCTAATGATAGTCTTGTGCTGATGATCCTCTGCTGTGATCTTATTTGTATTTACATTTTACCTGTAAGAGATGTAGGTTTGGAAGGGTTAAGCAGCTTATATAAGTTTGACCAGCTAGCTAGGAAGTGTCGGGATTGAGATTTGAATTGTCACATGTAGTTTATAGATAGATATGGGAAACACATCTGTGTTATGCAGTATTATTGTTATTTTCCTCTGCAGAATGTGATAAGGAATTACAGGTAAAGAAATGACTAAACTCAAGTATTCTTAGATATTTTCAGGTTATAAGTCTGTCTTGTGGTTATGAACTTGAGCAAATATGTCCACCAATTTCTCTATTCCTGTCATGTCATATATTCTTGCCTTAACCATCTGGACCTGATCATTGACAAGCCTTTTTTATCTGTAATTTAGCTGATACACACAGTACTTATCCTTTTTAAAAAATTAACCTCCCCTTTTTTTTCCGTTTTAAAGAGGTTTACTTTTTATTCATGTAATATTTTTGTGTGAATTTCTGTGTACTGTGTGCATGAAGGTGCCCATTAGAGGCCAGAGACTGTTGTATCCCCTAGGACTGGAGTTGTAAGCAGTGTGAGTTCCTTCTGCTAGTGTTAGGAACTGAACCCAGGTCTTCTGCTAGAGAAGTATGTGTTCTTACTCACTGAGCGATCTCTCCATCCATAAACGCTGGTGTGGGAGAATTGTCTGCATTCTGTCAATCATATTTTAATAAAACGCTGATTGACCAGGCAGGCAGTATAGGCGGGAAAGCCAGACAGGAAGTAGGGGTGGAGCAAAGAGACTGGGAGTATTCTGGGAAAACAGGAAGCTCCCTCTGCCATTCCTGTGCAGACCACTGAAGAGGCAGGATGTAACCTGCCCAGCTGAGAAAGGTACTGAGCCCTGTGGCTAACGTAGATAAGAATAATGGGGTAACATAAGTTATAAGAGCTAATAAGTAGCCTGACCTAATGGGCCAATCAGCTTTTTAATTTATAGAGATCTCTGTGTGATTGATTTTCCTAGGGAGTTGCCGGTTGTGGGGTACCGGGCGGGACAGAAACCCCAACAAGCCGGCCCGTCATGTTACAGAACACAAACTTTTTAAGAGAATTTTTTAAAATATGGGAAATAGTTTAGAATAAGGCAATAGTTGATATATAGAATGTGAAAATATAGAATAATATAACAAATGATCTATAATTGGTTTGTAAGCTTTTACAAAAATATATTTTATATATCACATTCATCTGACTCACTTACCTTTCCTTCCAGAACAAGAAATAATATTTTGAAGCATTTTACTTGAATATATAGACACTAAAGGGCAATATTTTTCTAACTTCATAAAGTAAAACGGTCTCCTAAAATGCTATATTTAATTTCTTCACAGTTGTATATAGGACAAAGAATATAGGCTTTGGCCTTCAAAAGAATGTAGATCAAATTTGGCATTTATATGTAAATTGTTATATTTGTATTTATATACAAATTGTTCTTAGTTTTTCTTGCTTTTGATATAGAATTGTTTGTATAACAGACTTTAGAGGTGTACCTTTCTCTTCACCTTTCCAAAATGCCTACTTTTTTCAGATTGAATATACTTTATTTAGATATTACATGGCAAAACAGTGCTTCAAATTCCAGAAAAGCCCATCAAGATGAACTTTATAAGCCACGTTGTGGGTTTTTTGTTTTGTTGTGTTTTTTGGCTTGATCACATAATAAAATTAGTATGTCGTATGTAACTCAGCTCAGTGTCATGCTGTGAGCATCAGTGTGAGCTTAGATCTCGATTTGCTTTCATAATATAAAGTCAGAATGTCAGTAATGAACACATTGGTTAAATGTGTGTGCAGATACTTAGTAGAAATAGTCTTAGATTTAGTCTACGATTCATTTCTGGAACATTTATGGAGGCTCTTTGATGAATGAGACATTGTACTGGGCCTTGAAGGCATTATTCTAGGCCTGAGAGAACTCATAGACACTTGAAATATGAGAGACGTACTTAATTCCCTCCTCTGTAGTTATTTATTTTTGTGGATTTTTTTCAGTGTAGATTACACAGTAAATATAGCTATTACCTGAGAAATGTCTTTTATTCCTTAACTCTTCCATGTTTAAATCTGACTTACCTATCCTTTCTTACTCCATTCCTATCCACAATTGGATATTACTGGAAGAAATGAATCATTCTTTCTTGCTTTTAAATTCTTGATCATAAATGTTAATTGGCAGTCCACTTTTGAATTTTTACAAAACAATAAGGACAAAACCAGAACAAAGACAATGCATTCTTATGACTTAATTTAGATCTTTCCTATAGTACACTATTTAGCATAATCTATGCCCAGTCCACTAAACTCAGCATCTTGCTTGGCACTTAATGAGAATAATAATACCAGACAAATGTAAACTATCTTTGCAAATTTGTATCTGTGATCTTATTTTTAAATATGCTTATTACATTTATTTATGTCCATGTGGGTCTGTGTAATGTGAATGGACACACATGTGCCATGGTTTGTGTACAGAAGTCAGAGGCTGACTTGCCAGAGACAGTTTTTCCTACTGTATGGGTCTTGGGAATCAAACATAGGTTGGCAGGTTGGCAGCAGGTGTCCTAACCTTAAACCATATTTTAATCCTCTCAAAATTCCTTCTCTTTTTCCCTCTTCCTCCCTCCCTCCCTTCCCCTCTCCTCTCCTCCCTCCCTCCCTTCCTCACAGAGATTCCCCTGTCTCTGCCTCCTGAGTGCTTGGATTAAAGGTGTGCGCCACTCATGCCCGGCTTCCTTACTTCCTTAATGGTACTAGGACCACCTGAATGTTAGACAGTATTCTGCAGCTCTACCACTTCCCAGCACCAATCCTGTGGTTTTCTTTTTTCTTTTTTAATTTATGATTTATTTATGTTTTATGTGCATTGATGTGAAGGTGTCAGGTCCCCTGGAACTGAATTTTCACACAGTCGTGAGCTGCCGTGTGGGTGCTGGGAATTGAACCCTGGTCCTCTGGAAAAGCAGTCAGTGTTCTTAACCGCTGAGCCATTTCTCCAGCCCATCCTGTGGTTTTCTTAAGAGCCAATATTATCATCCCGTGAAAGAGGTTGGCTAAATTGTTAAGTATGACCAAGAGTTCTGAATTTTTTTTTTTTGGTGTATTTTAATTATTAAATCATTTTACACTCTTTTAGTTAGATTTCTTTTTTTTTTTTTTCCTTTAGGTTTCTAACATCAGTTTTCAAACATCTACTGTTTTAGGTAACTGAATTACAACGTTTCCATTATGTAAAGATGCCAGTGATCTCTGAAACACGCTTTTGTTTCCCTTATGTCAGGTCAGCCCCTGTATTATGAAGGTTGAAAATGGTCATGATTTGGTGATACATACTCATTCTTTTTAGTACTCGGGATTTCAGTACATTATCAAATGATAGGCTGTTATTAGAGCTACCTACTCTTTTATGACTTCAGTTTTCTTTTTCTTTATTTAGGATAGTATACTAGAAGAACAGTTACGAATGTATCTTCACTGTTGTTTGACACTTTGTGATTTCTGGGAGCCAAATACTTCAATTGTGACCATTCTGTGGGAATATTATAGTAAGAACTTGGTAAGTATATGAATTTACTCTAGAAATAAGAAATTTGCTTATGATATTTGTGGAACATTTTATGATTTAATTATGAGAACTGAATTTTTTAAAATATTATTTTTGTTTGGAGTAGAATGTATCTTGTAGGTGGTTTCATCTTCTTCATACATTGTCTATAGAGAGCTGGCATAAAGAATTAGCATTTGGTGTTCCTTTTCCCTAGAATGGTTAAGCAGAGTAACTAGAAGTATGGGATTATACAAATGACTCATCCTGATTTATAAAGTTAAAATAATTTTTAAACTTAAGCATTATTTATTGTTTGTCTATGGGTATTTTGCTTGCATATATGCTTGTGCACTCTATGTGTGCACATGTGTGCACATTTGCAGTGTATTCAGCGGCCTGAAGAGGATGTCAGATCCCCTGGAACTGGTGTTACAGGTGACTGTGAGTCACCATGTGGGTGCTGAAATTGAACTTGGGTCCTTTGGAAGATCACCCACTGCTCTCCTTACATATTACTATTTTGTAACTAAACAAGAAACTGGATTTAGAAGGTAGGTAAGAATTAGGAAAATAAAAAATTTGAAGGCATTTAAAGACCTTAGTTACTTTTGTGAGTGAAAAGAGGAAGTTTAGGATATTTGAATTTCTTAGCATAGAAAATAATGGAAGGTATTCCAGAAATACTAAATTTTTATTTTTACATAAAACTTATTAAATGAGAAAATTTTATGTGAGATATGTAGGCTGGCTGGAGAAATGACAGTTTTTTTGAACAAAGTGTGTCTAAGATGAGTCAGGAATATCCTGTCACAGAAGGCTTGGGAAATAGTTAGCAGAGTGTCATAATCCAATTTTTTAGTAACTCCATTGCCCAAAGAATGAAAATTCTAACGTAATAAAAGAGTAACTTAAATGAATTAAAACATGGAGTGACCTAAGTTATAATAGATTGATTTATCAGAGGTGTTACAGATATAAAATCACTATTTTGTATGTTTAAGGAAATAAGGCATCTAGGCAATAAATATTCGTGTTTTTTAAAATCAGTAAGGGAGAAACTTGGGAATCACTAATGTAGGCAGAGTGACCAACAGTCTGGTAAACTTTCAGTAGGAAAGTGTGTTCGTCTTTATGAAGTACAATAGGAACTATTCAATACTGCCAGCACTAAGTTCCAGCCAAAATTTTTAGTATGGTCAAGCTATAGATAGAACCACAGACGTACTGAAATGATAGGTATCAAAGACCGTTAAGTGAAGACGTGAGAATAAGCAGAATGCACTTTTTATGTGTCTGAGAACAAAATCAGTGAAGTAAAAAAACAAAAAATGGTAAGTGACCATAAAGGGATACACAAATGAAAAACTGAATAACTAATAACCTGATACAAAAAGAAGGATCTCCTTGGTTGACACTTATACACGCATATTCTTGCAGCACTATTCACAATAGCCAAGTTGGGGGCTCAGCCATGATGTGTATAAGAAGATGAATGAACTCTTTCCTTTTGTGGCCATAGATAGAGTGGCAGGTGCCAAATGAAGTTCATTCTCTTTGTGACCTGACCAATGCAAGAACTATAAAAGCACTCCTGTGCTCCTCCATACGTTTGGGGAAAGATTGTGTCTTTGCCATTCTGCAGAGACCTGAGACAGAAGTGCAATGTTTAGTCTGTGACCATCCAAACTCTGATGAAGTTTAGGTCACGAAGGACACGATAAAGATAAACATAATGGCAACTCGGTCTACTTTACAGGGGCAGGGAAACTGGACTGGTTTATAGGTGGATACTAGTGAGCTGGCTCTCTGTGTGATCACAGGAAAGTGCCCACCAGGCAAAGGCATTAAAAAAGTCCTCAAATAGAAAGCCACATCAAAGAAGGGAAGAAAAGCACAAGTGTAGGAAATAAATAATTGAGAAGATGCAAGCGTAGTCTCATATATAGCTTTTACATAAAATGGGTTATATGAAAAAAATCAATCTGATGTATATACATAACAGAGTTTATTCAGCCATAAGGAATAACAAAATTTTGTAATTTGGAGGAAACTGGAAAAGACCTGCCATCATCATGTTAAGTGAAATAAGCCAGCCTTAGACAAATGTCTCATATGTTCTATCATACTAGGCATCTAAACTTATCAAAAACAAGGCATCTAAGTAAAATGGGAGTTCTGGGGATGGTCAAAGTGACTAGTCAGGGGGAAAGAGGACAATAAGTGGAATGAGTATAGACTCAAATGTGTATGGTGGTTTAAATGAGGAATATCTTCCATAGTCTCAGCTATTTGAATATTTGTTTTACAGTTGATGGCTGTTTGGGAAGGTTTAGGATAGGGCCTTGCTGGAGGAAGTTTGTCACTAGCGACAGGCTTTGAGATTTCAAAGACAAGGGCCATTCCCAGTTCTCTTTAATTCCTGTTTATGGTTCAAACTGTTAATGCCCAATGCCTATGCCAGCCACCATGCTTGCTTGCTGTCCCACTGCTCTACTATGTTAGGTGCTTATCCCTCTATAGTAGTGGTTCTCAGCCTTCCTAATGCTGGGACCCTTTAATACAGTTCCTCGTGTTATGGTGCCTTACAACCATAACATTATTTTTGTTGCTACTTCATAACTATATTTTTGCTGCTGTTATGAGTTGTAATTAAATGTCTGCATTTTTCTATGGCCATAGACAGCTCCTATGAAAGGGTCGTTGTAATCACAAAGGTTTTGTGACACACAGGTTGAGAACCACTGCTTAGAACCGTAAGCCAAATAAATCCCACAAGTTGCCTTGAGCTTGGTATTTTATCATAGCATGCCATATGTGTATGAAAATGTCATAAAGAAATCCATTATTTTGCATAATGAATATGTATTAAGTGTTCTTTATCCAAAAAAATTAAGTAACATAACAGAAACATTGAGAAAAATGGAATAGTTTTTAAGGATCATTCATAGCATCTTTGACCAAACCAATTGCTAAAAACACATTTTGAGGAAAATACAAGATTCAAAGAGCTCGTCATGTTCTCTCTGTGTATGTTTTTTTTTTATTCTGGGTTATATGTGATAATTACAGTCCAATAAAAGCTTATTTATGATTACAGTGGAACAAGCTTTTATGAGCTAATTAGTATTTGCAGCGTTCACATTTATTTACTAGGAAGCTTATCTATAACAGCTATGTTGTGCTTTTTTTTTAAATTTTTATTTAGAATAGCTCCTTCAGTATTTCTTGGCTTCCTTTGAAAGGCCTTACTAATATCATCAAGTCACCCTTGTCACTGCTTACCATGGTGAAGACCTGCTGTTGTGATAAACAAGACCCTGACTTGTACAAATCAAGCAGCAGTTACACCATTTTCCTTTGCATTTTGGCAAAAGTCATTAAGAAAGCAATGAAGAACAGTGGCCCTCATCCTTGGAAACAAGTTAAAGGAAGGTATGTGTTATATAGTATCTTTTTTGTCATAAGTGTTCACTGATACATTTGGAATTTTTTTTGCTATTCATATGTTTAAGTTGTGGTTAGTCTTTGCACATTTAAAATATATTCCGTAACCTAAAAATTAAAATGAAATTTATGCCCTAGCAATGCTGAAGTGTACATGAGCAGCCAGTATTATGGCAGTTCTATTGAACAAGTCCATACTGGGTTTCATGGCCTAAGGTGATGAGGACAATGAACCATGTTGCTTCCTCAAGAGGGCACCAGATCTCACTACAGATGGTTGTGAGCCACTATGTGGTTGTTGGGAATTGAACTCGGAATCTTTGGAAGAGCAGACAGTACTCTTAACCGCTGAACCATCTCTCCAGCTCCAAAATTTTTTGTCTTGCCAGTTTGTTATAATGAGGAATAAACTTAATATCCATAAATTAGAGGGCTTCAGATTTTTATTCATATAATCACCACTGAAGATTGGAATTTTAAAATACCAGAGTATTAGCAACAATTTTGACCACAATTAACTGTGATGTTACATAATCCTTTGCTCTGGTTTATTAAAAGTAATAGAATTTTTTTTTAATTTTAAAAAATCTTTTCATGTTACGTTGGTAGCTGTTAGGTTCATTGGTTAATTTTTTTGTATTTTTTGAACCCAGCAGTTTGCATTTTCAGTGCTGCTTCCTTAAATGAGAATTAACCAGAACCTAAACGATCTAGTTTGGCGCTCTCTCTCTCTCTCTCTCTCTCTCTCTCTCTCTCTCTCTCTCTCTGTATGTGTGTGGTCTGCTTTTGAGTTTTCTTTGTTTAATGGATCTACTTGTATTTTGTTTTCAACTTCCATGACTACGTGGAAACCCCCTTTTAAAGACTTTGTCATGAAGTATATCTCCATCTGGTACTTCCTCATCTTGTTTGATAAGAACTTTGGAAGAGAAAATATTTAATGAGGTGAATGTGGTAGTGTACCCCTTCCACACTTCGAAGGTTGAGGTAGAATTGTTAGCACAAGATCATCCTTAGGTACATAGAGTTCAGGACCATCAAGACTTATCAAACTTAAACATTTCTATGAAAAACATAACACTCCATTAACTAATTACTGTAAATCACTTTAATTAAACATTAATTAAATTTAATTAAACATTAATCAGGCAATACTATGTATTAACCACTATAGTGGGGATAGTAAAGAAAGAAAGAAATCTTTACTTTGTGGCTCATATTAACTCTTACGTACATTTAGTCTCGGTGTGCTTTAATTTTCTATGGCCTTAACAACCATGTATAGAAACTACAAAACTTAGCAATCCATGAGTAGGAAGTCAAGATGAAATGCTTTCCAATTCTAAGCCCTTAAGTGTTGAGAGAAATTTGCATTAGTGTTAGACTATATTATTAAGTAGTTTTGATAAAAGATGAAATTTAATAATGTCTGATTTAGATATTTGAGCACTCTTATTTTTCTTTATGTTGGTAAAAAATAGTCTAGTTACTTGAATTTTCCTAAGGTACAAAATAAAACTAGGTTTTCCTGAAGGGAAAAGTTCTGAAAAACTGTTCAGTTAAAATTTCTGTAAGAACATATGATATTGTACTTAAAAGTGTGCTGTTATTGTTACTAATGCCTGAGGTAATCAGTTTTTAAATAGAAAAGGGTTTTGGTTTTAGAGTTTCAGTCCAACTCTGTTGCTTTGGTTGAGGCAGCGTATCCTGCTGAGAGCATGCATAAGCCAGAGCCAAACCCACTTACCTTGTTGCCAGGGAACAGAAATAAAAAGTGTGACAGTGGACTCATGTCTTCGTTAAGTGCTCCCATTCTACTTAGCCTCTATCCTAAAGATGCAACTACCTCTTAGCGCACTTTACTATTGAAAAAAACTCAGACTTTTGTGGACTCTTTGAAATCCAAGCTGTAGCATTTATTCTGTCCTATTTGCCAAGAAGTAAGGAAATGATGGAAATCATAGGCAAAGTCTATGTATCATAGGAAAAGCACCTTCTTACTGTCTTTGGGAAAAGCTGAATCTATATTCAACTGTAATGGTTTTCTATGTCAGTGGGCAGTGGGAAATAGAAATAGTAATAGGGTAAAGAGTTAACTAAAACTTAGCTTGGGAAAATGGCTTAATGGATAAAGGATAGGAGTTTGTCGGGGGCACCTTTTTTGGGGTGACTTATGCCACCATCCTAGCCCAAGTAGCTTTGTACCTTCCAGGGTAGGACCGTGAGGATTAGAAATGTGAAGTAGGAGGAAGAGAGATAAGAAAGAAACACAGATACACAGGATAGTGAGGGCAAGTCAGCAAATACTGAATGCTGAATTTCTTCCTGCGTTTTGAGTTTGCCTAGTTTTATTTTCCATATACTTTTATACCCTAATTAAAAAGGGAGGGAAGAAGACAAAAGACTGCTTTAACATGATGCAAAGGACAACTAGAATGGTTACTTGCTCCAAAACTTGGGATATCAAGCCATTAGTTCCAGAGTAAAGTATTTGATGTTTGAACAGTGAGCCCACCTAGACCAAGTATCCTGCAGGCAATCACTCCCTAAGTCAGACCACCTATTTCAAAAGACAGAGCAGAAGTATGTTTGAATTCTCTGACCTTTGATCAGGGTGGAGCAGATCTACCTCTATGAGTCATCTTAATGTCCAGAACATCAAGTAATCTCACACCCTGGTAGGTCAGGGTGTGTAGCCGCCCCTTCTGTCATCAACTTTGAGAGAGCAAAATAAACTCAAGCTCTCTGACTTTCAGACAAGGTGGAACAGGTTCACAGTTTTGGGTCTCCACAGGAGTTCGAATCTTGTCGTCTGTGTGGGTAGATGCAGAGGCTGACATAATCATAGCCCTTGAGAGGTGCATACAGTAGATCCCTAGCTGACATAATCATAGCCCTTGAGAGGGACATACCGTAGATCCCTAGCTGACTAGCTGGACTAGCTGAAGATAGAAACTGTTCACTGTCTCCGAGTGGGGTCCATTTGAGGACAATACCTGATGCTAACCTCAGGTCTCCATATGTATGTGTGAACAAACACCTACACACGTGTACAAATAAGCATGTATACATTTATATACCACACATAATAATTAGCTATAACTTATAATGATGTTGTATCATAAAAATTAGAGGAAAGCATTTTTAAATGATAGATTTTACTTAATGAAATAATCTTACTAATTTTCATGTTTTATAGAATATATTCTAAGTTTCATCAAAAAAGGATGGAAGAACTAACTGAAGTTGGCCTCCAGAACTTTTTCTGTCTTTTTCTACTGTTAGCAGCTGTTGCAGAGATAGAAGATGTAGCAAGCCATGTTTTAGACCTCCTTCGTTTCCTCAAGCCTGCCTCCACGTCCTCTCATAGAGCCATTGTTTGGAAGGGTCAGATGGCATTCCTCCTGATGTATGCACAGAAAAATCTGGACATTGGCGTTTGGGCTGAGAAACTGTCATGTGAGTTCCAAGAGAAAGCAAAGGAATTCTTGGTTTCTAAGAATGATGAAATGATTCAGAGACATACACTATGGACACTTCTTTCCATCTATATTGATGGTGTTCAAGAAGTATTTGAGACCAGCTGTTGCTTATATCCTTCTCATGAGCATCTTCTCAATGATGGATTTATCATGTTACTGCGAGCCTGTCGAGAATCTGAACTTAGAACAGTGCTGAGCTTTCTACAAGCTGTTCTGGCCAGAATCAGGTACGCTTTCCAACAAAGTATACTACTGATGAGCTTCACTTTTAGCATACTTAGATACATACAAGTGTAGATGAAAGGACTTAGTTTTCTACTCCATTGGCAGAAATCAGTTTTCAAATAGTAGTTCTTCACAAGAAATCTTTTATTGAGACACAGCAACAACAGTGAACTGAGAGCAGCCCTCTTGTGATTCTAGAACCCTGCATAGACCTTCCTTCTGTGTGGCTCTCTAAAAGTGTGTGATTACCAAAAGAGGTCTTCTAGTTCTTGTTTTAGTCTGAACAAGACCTTGAGTTCAACTTTGAGGTGACTTTTATAGAAGCCCATGTAATTTTGTTCCCATAGGGAGGCTTGGGGTATCGTGTATTGCTTTATTTAATTTAATATTTATTATTGCTATTATTTGAGAGTGTGTGTGTGTGATGCATGGATGTGAATGAGTATGCACATTCTGTGGCTTATATATGGGAGATCACAGCACAACTTTTAAGAGTCATTTCTTCTGTCCTTCCACTGCACAATCTGTAGGTCAAATTCAGGTTATCAGGTTTGCTCAAGAAAGACTTTTACCTGGAAGCCATCCCTCCACCTTCCATATTGTACTATTATTTTTAAACAGTGTCTTTAAGTTGTAGCTGAAAGATTATTTGTAATCTTAAAACTGCTTCAAATATTTCTTTCCGTGTCTGTATATTCTGAAATTAATGTGTTGCTTTTAGCAAATAGCTTATACAAGGCTTATGTTTTTAGGTCCATACTAATTGTACAGATGTATTAATTTACAGATGTAATGAGAACATGCCTTAATAATGGATACAAATTGTAGTTATAGTTATAATATATATTGAATTTTTGTCATTTTGTTTTACTTTTTGAGTATGTGGGGTCTTTTTTTTAATGTGTTTTTTGGGGTTTTTCGAGACAGGATTTTTTTTCTCTGTATCTGTGACAGTACTGGAAATCACTCTGTAGACCAGGCTTACCTCAAACTCAGAGATATGCTTGCCTCTACCTCCCTAGTGCTGGGATTAAAGGTATGAACCACCAGGTCCAGTTAAGTATATGTTCTCAGTAAGTGAAATTTATCACTCTGTAGTCACAGTTGCTGAAAAGTTGATGAGAACTTGTATGTAGACGTAGGGTTTGGGGGGCTGGAGAGATGGCTTAGTAGTTGAGAGCACATATTGCTCCTGCAGAGAACTAGAGACACGTGTAAGTCCAGCTCCAGGACATCTCAGGCACCTGCACTCACATATGCACATATCCCCAAACAGATAAGCAGAAATTCACATAATTAATATGTATAATTTTATTTGAAGTCATATTTGCAGATAATGTAGAAACTGCATTCTTTCTGATACTACTTTAAAAAAATTAGTTTACAAGATTTTAAATATACAATACCAGTTTATAGCTTCCTTAATTTTCTTTATCCTAATTTGTGTAAGTTTTTAATTGCCACTAGTTTTTATATGTATTTGCTTAAGCAGAAGTTTTCATAGTAGTTGTTTCCTTGCCTCGCCAGTGTTAAGAATATTCAGGTAAGAATGTTACAACATGCTCAGATATTTTGATACGTGGATAGACAGAGATATAAATTAATAATCAATTTCATAAGAATAAACCTTTAATTATGGATCTTTGCATAAAAATGTTTTTTGGAGTCACAGAATATATCAGTAGATTTTATTTATCTAACAAAGACTCATTTCATTTTCTTTATTGATTTTTTTTTTTAGTAAATAATGAGAGTCATTTTTCTGTGCTTTCTAGCTTAACTAGAAAATTCTTATTCTAGTTTTAGTTTGTCTAAGTATGTCTTTCTAATGTAAAAAAACAAGAAAGAGGAGGGTACTTTTCTGAACTGTCTTGGTAATTGGCAACTGTCGTCCTTGTAAGATTTAAAAACATAGGAGTAAAGAAGGAAGGAAACAGGCATGCATCTTGAAGAGGCAGTCATAGAAAGAAAGTAGCATAATCAATTTATTTTTCTGCTTTTCTTTTGAAGATTGCTAAATACCTTCTAATCCTGATTAATTTTATTTTTAATAGATTTTAGGGGTTGTGGGACTAAGACAGTCTAAGCTGGGATGACCTCAAAGTCATTATGTAGCTAAGGCTGGCCTGGATCATTATTTCATTCATCTAACGTCCACCTTCCAAGTGTTGGGATGACAGGTGCATGCCACTATGTCTGGCTTTGCATAGTTTTTAATCAAAGATTCATAACCTATAAATACTCTTACTCTAGGAATTTTTCTGTGTTCTTAAAATTATCTTTGTGTTGTGAACATAGTGTGGTAAAATGTGTTAAGTCTCACCTTCACTCTCATTTAAGTGATTTTCAACTTGGAATGAGTTTGTCCTTTAAGAGATATTTGGTAATGTATAGAAACATTTTTAGTTGTCCCAACTAGAAAGATGCCATTCACATTTAGTGGGCAGAGGCAATCATGTTCCTCAAGTTCTATAGTTCACCAAGTAAACATCACAGCAGAACTCAGCAGTCCTGAGGCTGAGGATAGTTCTGTTCCTGAGTACCTTTCAGGGCTTTCTACTAGTGACACCTTTGAAGCATTTATGATTCTTTGTTTAGAAACATCCTTCTCTCTTGGAGTAGTGTTTTCTGGGCCATTTTTTTTATGTTGGTGTGTGGAAACCTACCTAATTTTTTTTTCTTAATGTTTCCTTATACAGATGTAGCAAACTTTATTTGCCCTGTCTCTGTGATGAAATTTATATTATTTACCATGCTATTAGTATCATAGTACATTTTTTTTGATTTTTCTCTTTTTTTTTCTTTTTTTTTCCCTCAAAGTTTATTAAAATACAAAAGTCTCCATTTCCGCCCCTCCTCCCAACACCCTCCCACTCCCTCCACTCCCTCCCCTCCTCCCTCTCCATCCCCAATAGCAGTCAGGGTCTTATCATAGTACATTTTATTTAACATTTTTATATGTGCATGCATCTGTATACTTGAAGTATATCTGTAGATACTTTTAAGACTGAGTTGCTATGTGAGTGTTTTAGATGTGATTGGTTCTTATTGAATTTGCTTCACTTTCAGTTTTAGATCACTGTAAAAACTTGCATAAGAAGTGTTTCTAAGACAAATAAAACTCTGAATTTAGTGGGAACACAAAAGAAGGGAAACAAAGCTTACTTTGAAGATCAGAGAGACTTCAGAAATCAAATTTGCAGGGAGCTAAAATTTTTAAATGATTTTTCTTTTTTCTAGTTGATAGTTATCCATTAACATTTGCTTGAATCTCCTTACTGAAACTTTTCTTCTTAATTCTGTAAAAGCACACTGTGTGGGCTAGAAATATGTCTTAGCAGTTAAGACAGTTAAGCAGTTAAGAGTACTTGTTATTGAAGAGGACCTGGATTCAGTTCCCTGCAGCCACATGGTGGTTCACAATTTTTAATGACGAAAGTTCCAGGTGATCAAATGCTCTCTTCTGACATACATAAACATTAGGTGCACACATGGTGCATAGACATATGTGCAAGTAAAACACTCATATACATAAAATTTAATAAGCCTTAAAAGAACAAAGTAATAGGTATGCACAATAATTCCTTTAATTTTTAAAGATTTACAATTTTCAAATACTATCTTTATTAACTTTTCCATTCCTATTTATAGATAAAAATGAAATTATAGATATGTTTATCCTATTAAATCTGAGACTGGGTTCTTGAACTGCACTAGCTGCCTCTGCCTTCTTACTCTGTACTTCCCAATTTATATAACCAAATTGACGGTGTCACTTGTGTAATGTTTAGTAATGGAAAGTACTTTCAATAAGTAAAATCTGCATCTTGTATGCAAACCTGAAATTATCATCGTTTGTGAACATCTGAATGAGTCTTTTATTTTTCTACTAAATAAAGAATAGTTGCTTATTGGAGGCATTTGATTGTCTTGTTTTAGTAATTTTGCAGTTTATGAATCAGTAAAATGAATCAAAGTGTCAACATTTGTCTCATTTATTGGAATCACATCGACCACCTATATTTCATTTTTGTAACTAAAACAAAATTTTTTCTCTAAAATTCAAATGAGTAAAGTATTTTAACATTAAAGCCAGTCTATTTTAAGAATTATTAAAATACTGCTTTTAAAAGTACCTCATGAACTGTGAGTATTCTTCAGTCCAGAAATGACTGTAAAGACTGCAGGGAACAATATATAAGGTGAAGCAGATTTACATTTATGTTAGTAATTTTTCTTAATGGTTCTGAGTTGAGTTTGAGGTTTGCTATACTCTGTGTCTGTGTGTGCGCATGCATATGTTGTTTGCCTTTTAGACCGGTCTATGAAAAAGACAAATGCTTACATTTCTAACACTTAATTTCTCAAATACATGTATATTTTTTTACTTTATTGCAATAATTCTTTTAAAAAATACATGTATGTGCATCTGAATGCATGTGTCAGTGGAGGCCTGAGAAGGCATATGGTCCCATGAACTGGAGTTAACAAGTGTTGTGAGCTTTGAGATGTGGATGCTGGGACCTAGTCTTGGACCCTCAGGGAAACACTGTTAACCACTGTGTTATAACTGTTCCTGAAAACAATGCTATAAAGAACAGAATATAAAAATCATATAAAATTGTTATCAAAAAAGAGGAGTGTGACATGAGACCCGGCTTGTTGGGGTTTCTGTTCTGCCCAGTACCCCACAGCTGGCAAGTCCCAAAGAAAATCACAGAGTCTACATTGGGTTATAAACTGATTGGCCCATTAGGTCAGGCTACTTATTAGCTTTTATAACTTATGTTACCCCATTATCCTTATCTGTGTTAGCCATATGGCTTGGTACCTTTTTCAGCTGTCAGCTCACATGTTGCTTCTTCGGTGGTCTGGGCAGGAATGGAGGAATGGGAATCCTCCTTTCTAGCCTTCTCCTGTTCTCATTGCCCCACCTCTACTTCCTGTCTGGTTGACCCACCTATACTTCCTGCCTGGCCAATCAGTGTTTTATTAAAATACA